CTGACGTAAGACACCCGCAACCCAGGCCATGCGCTAGAGCGATACTTGCCAGTACTGACACCACAAGCACCCGCCTCCAATGTGGTGGAAAAAAGGAAGGCAGTGCAGGGAGTGGCTAAGAGGGATGTGCTTTGTGCAAATTCGCCAAGTCATGGCCATGTACTTAGAACAGGGCTGGCGTGGCACATTTCCATGCTTGTGGCTTCTTTATTGTTTCCAGGCCGAAACAAAAGGGGGTGTTTTCAAAGACTCCTCCAGTTTCCCCAGGGGTTTAAGTCCCTTTGCCCTAGGGATTCCTCAACCCCCAGTAACTGTATTGTCCTTTCTCGTGCATCTGTAATTCAGCACAATGACAAGGATTACCTGATAAATGATTAGTGTGTTTGTGGAAATGTTGCTTCATGTCCTCGTGGTCACAGATGGACAGACAGGCAGAAAAGCCCTGAGCACAGCAGTTCTTCTGAATAGGCTGCTTGCTCTTGTTTTAGATGCGTGGTGATGCAGTGTAGCACTTTTGTCTGGAAGTTTCTCTTGACCATACATGTGTGAGGCTGACACTGGCCTCAGGAGTGTTCTGGACAATCACCATCAACAGCAGCACAAAAGATAGCTACAGTGGGCTCCAGCTTAGTTCACCAGAATTATCCAGAATTTCAACTGCAGTCAAATCAGCACTATATATATATATATATATATATATATATATATATATATATATATATATATAATATATAAGCCCTTACAATGCTTAGACTTTTCTCTGTGCGCTGTACTGTTGTGCCTGATTGTAATAGCAGTCAGAAGGCCTGATCATCTTTCTTAAAGCTGGTGAAATATTTACGTTGTTGTATCGTCTAACTTTAACCTGAAGGACACGTACAAACAGTGTGTGTGCTTTTTAATCACATAACCTCCAAATAATAATCCACAAATCATAGGTTACTTGTATCTTTGCTGAAGCCGTATGACTGGAGAAACCTGTGAGGTTCTATGATGCTGTTTCTTTAAGAACTAGGCTAATCATAGATTTGGTCTATTTATGTTTATATTCCAAGATGATGGTAAGATCCAGGATGTTTAAATGAGGTCAAACAAGAGCGACCCTTTTGGATTAGTTCACGTGGGCGTGTAAGTGATGAAGGTTACAGAGGAGAGAGATTGATATTGTTGTTTTGCATGGATGGAAGTTCATGTGTGGATGTGGCAAATGAGAATCAGATGATGGCGTGTTTGTGTAGGAATGAGAGCTCAGAGACTTTATTTGCTCGCCTTTTAGCTGACATGAGAATGTGGGTGTGTGGGGCCTATCATATTCCTTTTATTGTGTGTGAGTACTATACAAGTGATTAAACAAGAATAGAAAAGTATGAAGCCTTATAGATGTACATGAGGTGGATGTGCAGTTTATGTGTATTTTTCTGTTCTTGTGAGCGCGATGAGTCACTAAGAGTAGCCTGAATGGCCAAACTGTGTTGTTTGTTTCATTCTATGCATAGCTTTGTGTGTATGCGTGCAAGTGTACACCCATTAGCTGGGAGCGAGAGGGAGTGGGGTATTTCACTCAGAGTGTCTGGAAGGAGTAGCAGGACATTAACTCAGACAGAGCCAGTCTAGACTCACTGTGGTTGGTGCACTCCCCACTTTATAGCTATTTTATGGTGGGGGAAGGGACCCCAATGTCCCCCAGCAGTCTCTCACATAAATCTGACATATTGTCACTTTTGTAACAAAAGCTTTTTATCTTCAAAATGGTAACTTTATAGGAAAAGTGAAAACAAAACATTCTTACTTTCTATTCTAATGTATATCTATAGGTTCTGTCACCATGAAATGTCCACACTATGTAAAGGGAAGATGGCATTTTCAAATGGCTCCCCCCACATTTCCGAAAATGGGAGTTATGAGGTTTTGATATGACGGTGATGATATATATATATAAGTAATGTGTCTGAAGTAACATGTGGTTTTTCCACTGCAGCGTTTAGGGAAACTACAAAAACAGCTTTTACTCTATTTTTTGGATAATTTCTGTTGGTTCTTTCACAATGAAATTGGTCATTTCAAAAAGACCACCTCCACCACCCCACAAGAAAATGCAGTAATATTACCGATATACGATATATAATTATAATGTGTTTGAAGTGACATATGGTTTTCCATTGCACCCTTTAGGGAAACCACAAAACAAAGGCATTTGCAGTGGACAGTCTGGCCCACTTGCAGGCTTTTTCCGCTTTGTCCAGTTTCCCTGTTTAATGACTGAGATGGACATTCTGTCCCCCTTCTTTTCTCCTATCATTTGCATTTCAAAAGTCTCCAGTCACAAGACGAACACATACATGGGCTATATGTTGCAAAACAGCACCATATTCTAAAGCAGTGCCCCTATTTTTGCGTTTACACCACATAGGCTTGGAGAACTGCTGTGTAAAAAAAAGCTGGTAAAATTAGAACGACGGCTCTCGCTATTGCAGGGCAGAAAACCAGTGACATGGAAGTAAAATGAATGGTGTATCAGACATGTTTTCTCTGGCTTTTGGGTGCGGGATGCTGCATACAGACCGCATACACAGTTTCCACATGGAGCTGTGAGGAAACCACACCAAGATATATAGGCCCATCTGGGTTTGAGTAGATTTGTGTCAAAGCCTACTTTTATTGCCTTATTGAAGAGGGGGAAGGGTATAATTTCCCCATGCTTGGAGTCACTAGTAGTTACGTGTTGGAACAAGAGCAGGGTAGTACTTTAAAGATCTTTAGCATCTGAAACCTGCTTAATTAGACTGTGTCTGGCTCCACAGCATGTGCACATCTAGTGAAAAATGCTGTTTCGCTCGAGTCTCCATGGATCATGCTTTTGCGTCAACCCTAAAACAACTTTGGTGTGTTTAATCCCAACTGGTGTTAGTTTGTGTATTCAACACTGTGGGTGCTTAAGACAACACACAGTATATGGTATATGTCACATATAATGTTAATGTTTTGTGTCTTATTCTAATTATTCTTCAATTAGAATGACGAACTGGCACTGGCACATATGGCCCATTTGTAATGCAGTTCATTCCTGTTTAACGTTTAGGGCTTTTCACCTAGCTTAGCAGTTGTAAAAACAACTTTTCACAGGCATTTCTACAAATGGAAGACCAATGGGAAAGGGCCAGTGCTTTCTCTGTAGTGCCTTGCAAAGCACTGAAAAGCATCAGGGCCTTTATGGCTGCATGTTGGGCATTCATTTGTGATCTAAATGCAGGTTAAACCCTCAAGTGACCTGCCTGTGAATGCGTTCTGCCCACCAAATCATTCACTGTGGTCTACCATTGAGTTCTTAAGTTAAAGCTAAAACTGAGTCTCTGGTGATGCAGTATTGCTTTGTGGAGAGAAAGCTCAGGTATACAAAGTGGCTTTGTATTTCTGAATGCAAGGTTCCCTTATATACTGATCTGGGAACTCCTTCTAATATCCAGTTCCTAACCTCAAATCAGGCTAAATCAGGCTTAAATCAGAAAAACACTTACTGGTTATAGTAGATCTTGGCTGTTCTACTAAAACAAAGTCTGCAGTTGCTTAATAGGGGCCATACTGGATACAAAAGGGCATGGCCGAACTCAGCTGTGCTGAAAGAACTCTTTGTCCACGTAAGGGTTGGAAAAACTGCTAGGTTCACATCAGTTGGCACAGACTCCCCTGTTAACTGCTGTTAGCAACGCATGGTGGAGTTGATGACTTGTGGCCTCCTTAACACCTTTGTTCTGGACTCAGCAAGCTGCTGAAATACAGTCGAATCAACATGGGTTCACATGACTTTGAACAGAAGCAAATCAAGCTACGCAATGTTTGCTCAAGCCAAAATAAATGAGTATGTTTGTATTTCTAAGTTATTCACATTGTAATATGCTCTGTGTTTTGAAAACATGGTAGATACCCTACCATTTAAAGGTTTTGAAATACTGTACACACAATACTGTAATAGATATGATACATATACATGCATGTATTTTTTACACACATTTTACATACAATATTATGATTCTAATTTGATTCTAGTACATACATGTAGGAATTTGTGTATACAGTAATTATTAAAGCTGTATCAAGAAGTTGTAATAAAGTTATCAAGTAATATAAAGGATGCCTCATATTTTAAAAGGTAATTTTGAGGCTGATAAATTAATGTTTAAAGATGTTTACAATGTTATTTATCATTTAAAAGGGACTTAACATGTTCTTTACAGTGGTGGTGATAGAAACCAGGGATCATGATGTCTACAGTGCAAATATAGCCATTTTATTTACTGGTCAAAATGGCCATTAAGCCTACACATGTCTTCTGAGTTTTTATATGTAATGTTGATGATGGCGAAATAGTGGTAAATCTGAATAAAATACATTTTCTTTGGGGGCTGCTTCATAATACCCTGTATGTACCTCTCCACTGTGAATGGACAAAAAACATTTTAACACAGTTGTGTAAAATATAATAAAACAATGTCTTGGGCATCAGACAACATTGTTGTAACCACTATTCATGTAATTTTTTTGTGATGTTGCTTTTAGAGGCATTTAACAGTTCAGACATCCGGTTCCTATCACCACCACTGTGAACAGTTCTGACTGTAACTCCCTTATTGACCATATCTTAACCTATTGACCTTATCTTGACTTTCAAATATTGATGGAATTTCCCTCTAATAGCATCTTGTTGTTCCCCTATTTAAAAAAAAACAAAACTTTTGGTGTATGTCTTGTAATAATAAAAGTGTTGTCATATGTTATTATTACATAGTATTAAGCTAACAAATATCAATATGACGAGTAGTGTAGTTCTCAGTTATTGACATTGTATTCTGTTGGTTATATGAGGATTTGTTATGTATATACTAGTGATACCTAGAATATACATTACAAAGGTAATGTTGTGAAAACAAGGTACTTACATGTCTGAATGTCTCTGTTGGAGTTGAGTAAATATTGACAGCTGTGTGTGTGTATGCGTGATACAGGAGAACGGCCCTTCCCCTGCACCTGGCCCGACTGCAGTAAGAAGTTTGCACGTTCGGACGAGCTGGCCCGCCACTACCGCACCCACACGGGCGAGAAGAAGTTTGGCTGCCCACTGTGCGACAAGCGCTTCATGCGGAGTGACCACCTGATGAAGCACGCCCGCCGCCACTCCGACTTCCAGCCAGCCATGCTGAAGAGGCAGCAGGGAGCTACCAGTGGACCGGCTGGAGGAAGCAGCACGCGGCCAGGCTCGCTCAGCGACTACAGCCGCTCAGATGCCTCCAGCCCCACCCTCAGCCCTGCCCTCAGTCCCGCCCTCAGCCCAGCCAACTCGCCTTAAACCCGGCCGCACTTTCTGCCCTCTGCCCCTGGGAATCCAGGCTGTGTGTTTTTTAAAAACCTCCTCTTTCTTTTCTGTCGAAAAATAGTGATGTTGCACATTTGTTAGCGGCCACCTACTCTTTGCTAATCCCTTCGCTTGCTGTGGTGTACTCTACTGTACATAACCGCTTCCTGTAGTGCAATTTTCTCGTGCAACTTCATATAAGAGAAAAAAATAGAACACAGAAAAGAAAAAAAATGCCTTTCCCAGATGGCAATATTTACATTATGAACCATATGTCTGTATTTTTATAGCCTCTGGCTGTGGCCAGTTTTCCATTGTGTTTTTGTTTTTCGTTCCTTTCATTTAATCAACTCAGTTTAACTGAACAAAAAAAGTAGACAAAATTGACAGGTATACGATTATTATTTCTTTTCTCCTTTTTATTTAAAAACGGGTGAGGGGGAGGGGCACACACACCTCAGGATTCAAGACAGTTGTTTTTTTTTCTTCTCCTTTAATATTCACCTTGACTGCACAATACAAGCATCACTTTACTCTGAAATTCAACAGAGGTTGAATTTTGTGCCCTGCTCAGGGATGGCCTCATTAGCTTGAAAGAATGAACATGATGAAGAGAAAACATACATAAAAAACAGCCTTACACTCAACAAAAAATTGCACTCTTCCTTTTGTCCTTTTTTTGTTGGTTTTCACATCAGGGGAAACTAGCACTGGGTTTAACAGTCATTCAAACTAAACATTAATATTTGATTTGTCTGTAAGAGGTGGTACAACAGAGGAGGAACTAGAATGGAGTGAAAGTTATTGTGTCTTTGGGACTGGAAAGAACTCTTTTTGTGTTCAACATCACTATCTCTTAGACCCTTTTATTTTTTTCCCACAAAGCTGTGGAGGTTGTTCTTGGCTGGGTCCTGATTTCAAAGGGAAACCTTACATTGTATGAATGTAGGTGATGAAACCGCCATTACATTGCCCAGTCTGCCCAATGAGGAGTGTTAGAACCCAACCGCTCTCCTTTACAGGACTGAACTAAATCCCCCTAAAAATGTGGAGGATAAAGTTTCAAAGCAGCTGCTTTGCACCATAAAGACTGCACATGCATCAACTTCAGGGTTTTTTTGTTTTGTTTTTCACACAACAGTACAGGTATATAACACACCCAGGAAGGGACTTTGTTGGGATCTCTTTGACTCACACTCGAAAGAAAACATGAAAGGAAAAAGCACACAAGCAGAAACCACCAAAGACTGAAGTGTGAAGGAGAGAACAGGAAGGGTTTCTTTTTGTTCTGCCAGTAATATCCAGAGGTGGGGGGTGGTGAGGGAGGGGTGTTGGCAGAGTTTAGGTAACGGCAGACGCCCTGGCCCTCTGCTCTGTACCCTGCCCAGCCCCACTGTGGCCTGTCCGCCGCTTTGGAAACGCCCCACACAGGGCTATTCATAGCGCACTGGAGAGGAGAGTAGAGAGCCACTGCAGTAGAGCTGTCCTCAGCCTGCCTCCCCCTGGAGAGAGGCAGACAGGGAGAAGGAGAGAGAAAGACAGAGAGAGAGAAGGGGGAGGAAAAATGGAGGGAGTGACAGAGAGTGTCTCCAGGGTCTTTTGCTGGGAGGCTAGCCCGGCAGGCTAAAATATAGGCTGAATCATTGCAGGATTTCTGAGTGGAGTAATGATGCATTCGGATGCTTCTCAATAACTTGTAAAGTCTGGGAAATTGTCCTGTGACCAAGTTGTGATTACAGTTGTCACTGGTGAATTTATGATGTGAACTGTACATATTATCACTGTCATAGCAAAACTTTGTATCTCCAAAATAGTAACTTTTCAGGTGAAAATACATTCTTACATTAATGTAAAAAGATTTTATTACGAGTAATTTCTATTCATGATGAAAATTTCTTACGATGTAAAGGGCAGCTGGCATTCTCAAATGAAAAAATGACAATAATGGAGTTGCACAGTTTTGGTATGACAGCGAGAGTGTATCAGAGAATGCAGAGGCTGGTGATGCATCATAACTTGTAAACTTGCCTGAGTTTATCACTTGTATTTATGACTTTGTCAGAAATGTGAGTGCAACTTCCTTGTGGTAAACTCAGAACTCAGTTTATGAGGACCATCCGGACGCACCATAAACCTGAGCTGGGCGGGATTGCTGGGTCCATGGTTACAGAGTGAAGCCTCCAATTAAGAACAAAAGCAGCTATCTGCAGGAGGCAGGAAAGAAAGGGCCTTACCCGGGGGAACCAGATAAAGACGGGGGGCTTTATCATAAGCTGAGCAGTCCAGCGGAAGAGACAACCAGTCAGCTCTCCCTTATGGCTCTCTTAGTCTAACAAACCCCTTCACTCCCCTCCTTATTGCCCCCTCCCTGCTCACCCCCTAACGGAAGAGAGAGCATTCCGCCATGTACCACTGTGTTTTAAAAAGGGTGGAGTGAGGGCGCTCCTCTGTCTGGATGGCATCCAAAATGTCAGGACATTAGGTTTTATAATTCAGGAAGGCAAAGGCCAAATAATAGGGACAGCAAAAGCTCATGGACAATGAGAATGATTATGTTATCAATTATAACGAGAATGTTTAGCATGTTTGGCATGTCTGTTATCTAAAGTTCTTGCCCCTCAGAGCAGAATGGAAGGAGGCAGCGTGCTGATTTTACAACTGTTTTTCCAGCTTTGACACAGTGAACTTTGCAGTGATCTTTTTTTTCCTCTTTCTCTGAAAGACTGACATAAAGACAGATGTATAGATGCAAATCAAGCAAATTATTAGCATTTGTCTTTGCAGTGTATCACATTTATTGCAGTGAAGTCAGGAGACTCCTGACAATGGACTTTTACATGTTGGTAGTATATCCAGACCTCTACATACACTTCTTTACTGTTGCGGATGCGCTGATAGAAACAGTCAGTGTTGCCGCTAAACACATTACCTCAATGTACCATTATAGCAGCTGCTTTCAAACTTGATTCTCATTTCAAAGGGGCTTTTTAGGCTCTTGTGAATGCCACTACCAAAATTTATGCAGTAATGCAGACATATCATTTGAGTAAACCGTGATTTGCCGTCCTTTGCTTGCTGTAGCCTGGGAGGATGAAGAACCAGCGTGAGAAAGTGGTCTTATGTTGCTACAAGCCATGCCTCACAGCTATACCTCATCAGTTCAGGCCAGAGGCTCTCAAAAACCTACCATGAATAGAGGCACCACTGTCTAAACTACTGTGGCACTGCCTCACACACACACAGACACACACACACACACATACTCACTTTCACATGCTCGCAAACACAGATGCACACCCTCATTGACCCATCTGCACACACACTTGAACTTGTCAAGCAATGTCACTTTTACATGCTCTCTGTTGTCCCTCTGTCACTTGTCATATATGTGCTTATTCAGCCTCCTGTGCCCACTGGGGGTGGGAGTGGGGGTCATTTTTCTCAAGGCTGAAAAAGATTTGTCTTCTTGGGGGTTGACATTGCATTTTTTGATGGCTGGTTTTGGCTGCGCTTTGCCCGTCCTATAGTTAATGTTGTCTAGCACAACAAGCTGTTAGGGTAATTTTTACATTTGTATGCTTTTGGCAGATGCAGTTATGCAGAGCGAGTTGTGATTTAATCACATTACAGAGGTAGGCGAATGTAGCCTCAGGAGTCTTGCCCAAGGACTCATAGTATAGCGTGGCATGCTTGCTTGGGAATTTAGCCCTCATCTGCCATGTAGAGGGCAATGGTGTTTCTCACTATGCTATATCAATCGCTACAAAGCCACTGCAAACATGTTGACAACTGTCATTGAAGCTTAACCTTCACCTGATTGGTCAGCACATGAATGCACATGACACAGGCTTCTTGACCAAAAGACAGCTGACCAGGGCGCTCCGCACAAAAAGCCAGCCAAACAGGGCGAGGCCCTTTTTTGCACAAAAACAGCCAGCAAAAATGCCTCACTCTCATTAAAAAAATAAAAAAAGCACCTTGATTCGCAAAGAACAAGTATAATGTGATCTACCCTTGATTCCCTACCTTTCAGTCTCTCCATGGCTGCTGGTGGGATACACAGCAAAACATTATCTCTTGGCAAATGAAAGCATCTAAAATGTCATTTTTGTGTACTTTTACGTCATCAAGTGATAATGTTCAAAGCAATCAAAATGATCTGAAAAAGCATCTACATGTAAGATGCTTTCATTCACCAAGATGTCATTTTTTGCAGTTTAGCAACAGGGGGCTGTGAAAACCGCCCAGCTGGGGATGCAGTGTTCCCGAGCAGCAGGAGCAGGTGGAGGGCCTGTGAATACCAGGCCTTGTCCCTCTACCCACCCTCCCTCCCTTCCCTTCCCTCCAACCCCCCCGGGGCCTCTCTGCCCAAGCTTTTGAAACGGGTGCACATAATCGAGGCTTTCTCTCTCCTCTCTGCCTAAAGAAAACACCCCTAATGAAAGTAAACAGCATCACAGACGCATTATTACTGCAATGAGACCACATGTAAAGCTGTCTCGCTGCTTAGATAAACTGCCTTGCCCTCCCTTTATGCTGATTCCAGAAGTGCAGCGTGACGTGGGATTCCACTCTGTTGCAGTCCACACTGGGACAGTAAAGTTACTAAATTACAGATTAAATGAATGGCATTTTCTCCTCACCTCCTATTGACCATCCCAAAAGAGGAGCTGGTGACACCCTTCCATCCACGTCTGCTTACATATTCTTTCCATTACCCAGAACCATATATTGCAGTAGATAGGTCACCTCTGTGTGCTCCTCACTGCTGGTCAGTGTTGAGTGCTTTATATGGGACACCAGTTCTCTTCTTCTGAGGAATGGTCATATACCCCCTGTCCCTAAACTGTACTCCTGCCAAAGCTAGTAGCATGTTCTAATGGCACCAGTGGCTCTTAAGAGCCCTGAAACGGTCCTTTAAGGGCATCCTGGAGGTAAAGCATTGATTCATCTTCGAGGCACTGTTGAGATAATGTGTGATAAGGAAATGTTTAGTTAATGGACGTTTATGCATACATAGTCACAGGTTAGTGTGAAATACATGTAAAAGGATGCGTTTTCTCCTCATCGTCACTGTTCCGAAACTACTTGAATCAGATGCAAGACCATTGAACACAGATTGAGGCATGTCTAGGGTAAAACTGTACTTGCTCTGTCCTTGGCTAACAGCTCAACTTTCACACAAGTTACGTGTGATTATGGATATATTCATCTGGCTTTGTTTATTTGTAATATATGTTTTTTTTCTCTTTTTTTCTGATTAATTTTACTTCTCTAATTGTAATGTAATTATCATATTTCTTTCTGATTGTCATTATTGTTTCATGTTTTAATCTTAGTCCACTGCAATGAAGCTTGCTCCATGCATAGTTTTATAGGCATTGAGGGAGGTAGAGTCCAGCAGTTCCCTCTTTATCCAGAGACACTGAATGCTCTTTGTTATAAGCAGGATATAGCTATATAATCTCGTTTTTTCTGTAAGACTTGCTGAGCTATGGAGAGAGAGGATTGAAGAAGGGGCGAAGTTGACAAAGGGAAATCCTTCTTCTCGAAAGCTTGAAAGCATCGCATGAGACTGATGTGAGAAGCTTCATTTTCAAATGTTGCATCACCATAGAGACCACAGCATTGTGAGTAGGTAGTGTAGTCTCATTATTATTATTATTATTATTATTATTACTATTGTTACATTTGACTTTTATTTCCATGGTTAGAAACTTAAAATCACCATCATGTTATCCATCTTGTCTTTCTGATCTCATACCTCTGCAAAGAAACTGAACTGAGAAGGTTATGAATGAAGACGTATGAAGTATTTTAGGGGTGGGGTGGGGGGGTTGGAGTGCATATCTGAAATAATGGGCCAACTATAATGGCAATATTATCCGAATTGTCAGTATCTTACCCAAAATGTCAATTTGAAACAGAAAATAATGACATGATAAAAGAATAGTGGGTTGCATTTAACCATAGGACTGCCCTGATAATGAGCATAATTTATTTTCTTATTTTCTTGTTGACAGAATTATACTAATCAGTTTGGTATATTTGGAATGAATTTTAGTTCATATTTGTTTTCTTTTTAATAGCAGATTAGGTTTGATAATGCGTGCCAAAGGCATTAAAGTTGTAATTCCAGTAAACTGCAAACCCCTTAGATAGTTAAACGCATTTACCATAGTAGGTAACATTAAATAAACAACCTTGTACAGTTTTCTAAGAGTGATGTGTTTTTAAGTATGTGTACAGGATTGAATGATGTGCATTGCATACACAAGTATTTTTAATTTCTTTTTCCTTCTTTTGGTGTGATCTTGATGTACTTTTAATTATACTGGTTTCTGTTAGTTTGTTTTTGTTATTCTTAATTTGTCTTGGTTGTACAATTTGGAACGTATTTGGTTAGAACATGGATGTTATTGGACATTATATTCATAAATGAATACCCAACCATTCCAAAGGTTTGCAATTGCATTGCTATAAATGTGCTGCTTGTATCAAACCAATGCATTGAAGCTTCATTAATTTTATGTATTTATTTTATGTTCTGTTTTTGACTGTGATGTATTTACTGAAACTGGTTAATTTGGGTACTTTTCTTAACATTTCTGCTTGTTTTCTGCCATTTTGTAGAGTTGGTTCCATTTGTTTATACTATGCGCTTGTTCTCTGCTGGCTGGTGCCTGCTGGACAAAATAGACATGGGCATGCCACGTTCGGACAGAACTCCCGGAGTGTCTCAGAAAGGGAATTTTAAAAGACTGCTTCTGTGTGTACATTATTTTGTCAGTCTTGTGTGAAGTAAATATGTGAGTTTGAAAGACAAATGCAAAATAGGGTTAGGCCCATGGAATTATTGCACGTAGAGCTTGAAGAGGTGAAAGATGCCATTGCAGAGGCCAATGTGGTGCTATAACCTGCCATTTGAGCCTCTGCGTGAAGGGACCCACACTGTTCAGTTAATTAAAGTGCAGCACTGGGTTACAATAACTGGAGCCTCGTTGGGTCTGGATTTATTTTTTGAGAATTGTCTCCAAAGGCTTCTAGAATGGATGAATGCATGAATGTTCGTATTGCGTTAGCTGGAGTTAAGTCTGCCAATTCACAAAGCACATTTAGGCCCATTTGCTGAAAGGAAAGCTGTAGACCCGTCAATGTGTGACTCACTGAGGTATTCTCTCTGTGTATTCAGGAAACAAAAGAGAACCCTTTGAACTTCTAGAGATGAACAAAGGCAGGGTTAAACCTCATTTGCTATGTTGATTGTCCCAGTAAGACATATCTGTGAATATGTAGACTTACTAAAAGACTGTTGCTTTCCTCTCATCGCCTGTGGTCCCTCTGTGCAGTCCAATGCTGAAATGTGGGGCCCCCACAGGTAGAATAGCACTGTGCTCGTGCATTTAGTTTGTTTCTCCAAAGTGAGTGGCTATGTAAATGCCATTCTGTAACTGTACGGCCAGGGGGGAAGCCCCTTGACATCATTCGTCTGTCCGTTAGCAAGCTTTTTCCATCTTCTGAAATGACAATGTAGATGTGTACCAATGAAAAAGATTGTTGTCTCATGTGGAGATCCCACGAATGCCTCAAAATATTTCAGAGAGGGAGAAGTCTAGACTGTTACTGTATGTGAAGGCTTCTGGGGTATCATGTAACCTTCTCAGTCGTTGGTACTGATGATTAAGAGTGCTTTTAAAGGGCGCGGTCACTTTTGTCCCCCCTTTTAAAAGCATTCAGCTTTCAGTGGTGTCAGCAGTGCCGAAGCCGTTCTGATAGCAGGTGTTGATGAACACGCGTGACTGGGTTCCTATACGAGGCTCAAACCCCTGCCCCACCCCAGGGAGAACCCAATATGGAAAACATCACAGCTCAAACATCTACATATATTCATACCATTTCTCACTGAGTCAACATCTGTTTCTTTCCTATAAAGTGCACTCATTTTTTTAAACTGCAAAGATGTCTATAAGGCCCAGCACCTGTGATGGATCGACAAAAAAAAAAAAAGACCAGACGGGTCTTTTAATGGACTTCTTCTAGCTAGATACCCAATAAATCAATAGATATTAGTGATATAAAGTCTTTCAGTGGCCAAAACTCATTTTTAAATGACTACTTTCTCTCTCACATCAATTATGCACATTGTTTTTACTGTCAATGACCCTCCAATCGTAATATGAACAAATATAAATGTTGTACAGAGAGAATTTTAGGGAGGCCATGGAGGCCTCAGGCTGTCCTCTAGGCTTCCTCTGTGTGTACTTGGCTTGCCTTCCTAATGTACATTTTAGTCTCTATTTTCTACATCACCATGCGATGCCTGTTCCAGTGACTACAGCACCGCTGTAATGCTCTTTGTACAAAATAACTCATAACTTCAACTATGGCCAGTTCCTATCTCCATGACCTCATTCAAAACCTGCCATGTATCACCATTTTTCTGTTCTTTTTCTTTCTTCCTCAATCAACCAAAATCACTACAGTGAAGTATTACAGTTGTACAGTTCCATGAATTATACAGACTATTAATGTTGCTGGTCTATGGTTGCTCTGCTGTACCTTTTTATGACATTATTTTTTACATGTTAGACAATATATTGTGACTCTGTCCTATGCAAATATGAGAATTAACAAGAATTTGTCAAATAATGTATGTTGTCTTAACTTGTATGCATGAAATAGTGAAGTTTACATTTGAAAATAAATTCATAAATAAGCAGCTTTACGGTGGTGATGTGTGTGAGTTCTTTCTTACCTTGCTTGCTTACCTTGTTTGCGTGTGAGCACTGTGTTATTGTGCCTCTGTGTTGGTTCTTGGAAAAGCCTTAAATTGGTGTAGAACCTTCACCTTTAATCAATTGGAAGGGTCTTTAGAGAACTGAAAGTGTTTTTTCTATGGTACAGGTTCCCAACCCTGTCCCCCTGTCCTGCACGTTTTTGTGTTTTCCTGCTCTAACACACCAACCTCAGCTCCAGAAGGGGTGGTAATTAGCTTAAGTTGAATCAGGTGTGTTGGGAGCAGGGAAAACACTAAAATGTGCAGGACGGGGTTCTCCAGGACCAGGCTTGGGAACCACAGCTCTATGGCGTCACTCCACAGAAGCCAGGCTAGGCTAGTAAGTCTAGCTAGCATTTGTGCTGCATACAGTTAAAACAAAACACTTATGAAACATTTCTGTTGAACTAGCCAACTCTGGCAATGGCAGAAAGCCAAATATTCCTCATGCCACTGCTTTAACTAAACCTTTCAGTTTATACTTTGACAGCCAAAGGCTACAGTAGCTGTTCAGCGGGGCGCTAATGAAAATAGAGAACAAATAAAAGCTTCCAGCAGTGTGTGTTGTGTTAAAGATTGTGCTCTGCTGGCGGGGCTGCGTGTGTGCAGGAAGTACACCTTGTTCCTGAGCAACTGCACCCATGCAAATATTTACTGTAACTGATGCTGTTTGTGCTTTCTTATTATGGAATTTGCAGAACTGTGAATGGCAGAAAGACGATTTGAGCGTAGTGTTCAGCAACACATGATAATGCAATAAATGTGCTGTGTGGGCTGTGAGATCGCATGTGTGAAAATGGCGTTTTGCCAGTTATGCTGCACATGTGCACGGTTCTCCAGTCTAAAGCCAAGCAATCTCTGAAAGACCACACATAAAACATCAGATAAAAGAAAAAAGGCTGTCCCAGTAGTGGCCCATATCTGCAAGGTTGCCCTGTTCATCAGTTATGTAAGTAAAGTGGCATCAGAGTACGCAACCGCCCACCAGCCGTTCTGTCCTTGTTCTGCCCGTTTCCATCACTTTGGAGCTGAACAGGAAGGAAAAAAGTGCTAAAAATATTCTGAGAGAAGGCTGGTGTGTTCCTTACTCAATCTGCCCACCTCCTGTCTCTCTGTCTGTCCACGCTGCCACCATTGCCAGAGAGCTGTGCTGTGTGTGTACGTGCAACACTGTGTGAGTGTCTCTGTGTCTGTGTTTAAGCCAGAGTATTTAATATATTCCCCACTCTTACGTCTGATTACAAAGCAGGAGCTGTGTGCGGCAGGCAAGCCCAGCTCAGATGACAGCTTGTGAATTTCTTTTACTGTCTTCTTCCCATTCTGACACTGTTATTATGACGAGTACACATTGAGCCTCAGCCTGTTCGCCCCCCTTCTCACTGACAAACTACATCCTGCCAGCCTGCAACCAACAATTACTCGGCAAATTCAAGAATAATTAGGGTAAAGACGGCATCCTGTTGCCATAGAAAAGGTGGTCAAAGCTAGACACGGCGGCAGGAAATCAAACAGCAAAAAGAGAACAAGTATTTCTAGACTTATTATGACACTTAAACATTTTTGAAAGATAGCAGGTAGTCTTAATAGTAACTTCATAAGAGAAGGAAAAGATGTTCTGAGCTTGTAATATAACTTCATGTCATTTAATTTGATTCTGGGCAATTTTGGACCATTTCCAGACTCTCAGAAAAAGATGTACCTCGAGGGTACCTCCCAAGTACACTCACTTGGGTGGTACCCTTGAGGGTACGTCTTCAGTACCTTAGTTAAGGATCATAATTGTACCATATTCCACTACAATTCTATTTTTGAGCTGTATTGAGTACACACACCCTGTCTTGTCTCCAGCCATTTATTGTATTGTTCTGTTTTAAGACTTAAGGTTATGAAAAGGTATTGATATACACCGATCAGGCATAACATTATGACCACCTCCTTGTTTCTACGCTCATTGTCCATTTTATCAGCTCCACTTACTATACAGGTGCACTTTGTAGTTCTACAATTACAAAATGTAGTCCATCTGTTTCTTTGCATATGTTGTTAGCCCCCTTTTACCCTGCTCTTTAGTGGTCAGGACCCCCATAGACCCTCACAGAGCAGGTATTATTGGGTGGTGGATCATTCTCAGCACTGCAGTTACACTGACGTGGTGGTGGTGTGTCAGCGTGTGTTGCGCTGGTCTGAGTGGATCAGACACAGCAGTGCTGCTGTGCACATATATGGAAATATATGGAAATGTGTACAACTGTACATGTCATAGCTCTTATTTCATAACCTATATTACTGTTACAAAACTGTATATTGGAAATGGTGCAATACTGGTGTATATTAATGTGTATATATTTTTATATACTATTTATATATTTTTTGCATTTAAGTACTACAATGGGGCTACGCACCTAAGATTTTCACTCACCTTCACATCAGTGTAAATGTGATGTGACAATGTATATAATATGATTTGATTTTGGTGTACATTTAAGGCGAATTTCTGTTAGTGCCTAACAGTGTTCATTTCCTTTTTTGACACAGCATAATAATTTACAGCAGCTCTGGCTTAAACATGGTGCTTGTAAAACAATTATGTAACATTACATTGCATTTTTGGTAGTATATATTTCTACTTTAAACCTACGCATTTAACAAAGGTGCTTTAACAGTTTTGTTGTAATTATATTGACAGGCTACATCTGAGTCACAGAGAAATAAACACCTTGTATGGCCAGAGGCTAAGCCTAGTGTCCGGTAGTTATTAACTATGGGTGGGAATCTCTAGGCACCTCACGATTCGATTCGATTACAATTCAGGGCTGCGATGCGATTATAAAACAATTATCGATGCATCTCAATGCATCTTTTTTTTCTATATAGCATTTCTATTTTCTCACTGTGTGAGCTCAAGTTTCGAGTTCAAGTTTCAAGTTTATTTGTCATTTGCACAACATGTCAGGACATTTATGCATTGAAATGCTTGTGGTGAGGCTCAGATAATCACTCTACAGAAAGTAAATAAGTAAAAGTAAAAATACAAGAAAAACCAACTGAAATATATTAAATATACACAAAATATACACAGAATATAGAGACAATATACATTTTAAAGTGACTAAGTTACTCGGTGTTATTGTTATTTAAAGTGACTTGGTACTTTTAAAGCAAAGTATTTGTAATGATCCATAATGAATTTACTCCCAATATCTTTTTTAATAAAACAAATGGAAGTGATGTGGCAAGTGAACTTGAAGGCTCTTATTCAGTGCTCTTGTTTGGAGCACGAGAAGCTGCTGCTACTCATCTGCGATAAAATGCGCAGTTACGGTGAAATAAGATCCAGTGGTAATGGAAGTCCATGCAGCACATGTTACAGCTATTCTACCCGTTTTCTTTAGTGATTTTATAACTTTGGTTTTGGTCTCGTTGTAGAGACGGGGGGATCGCTGTGTCAGTAAAATATCTTTGAGACGGGACGCGTGCAACATAATGTGAAAGCCCTGTTTCGCAACGACTGAGAACCGGCGTGCAGACTGCAGGTCACACAGCAACGATGCGTTATTCGCATTTATAAGCAGCGCAGTTGGTTTTCTGGTTTGTTAAATCTGCAACGAGAGACTGTCAAACACTAAAAAGTGGCAAAGCTGAAGTCAGCTTCTCTTTGGAATTCTCCTGTTCCATCTTAAATGGTGCCGCATTTACATTTGGCGCCTCAGTTAGAATTTAAGGTGGAACGGGTAAATTCGAACAAGGAGACATTTTACAAGAAACTGATCTACTTCTGTGGAAAAGTTTTCTGGTGGACATGGGAGGAAAGCGGCTATAGTTAAAGCTTAAAGCAGAGCAAAGTAAATCCGCATTTTCGTTTATATTGTTTAGCGTATACTAAGACATTATCACATACTGGACATTAAATGTTGTGGCTCCCAAGGTGGTTTGATTTTTGTTGAAATGACAAAATGGCTCTTCTTATCATTTGTGTTGTGACCCCTGACCTGACCTGGCTTTTAATGCAGAGGGAGCCGGTCGGATTTCTCGCTCTTCCACTTGTGTTTTTGTTATGTGCCGCCACAGACTGTCCGGGCGCTGCATTTCCGCACTTCCAAGTTCCGCCTTTTGCGTTCCGTCAACATTACGTTATAAATTAAATATTTAGAAAATCAATTTTTGATGTTTGTGAATCAATTCAGAATCTTTCATGTCCGCATCGCGATGCATCTAAGAATCATTTTTTTCCCGCACCCCTATTATTAACCCTAACCCTAACAATAACCCTAACCCACTCAATCCTGTGCTAGTATATTGACATAAAGTCAAATCATCTCATCATATTGGCAGATCATTTTGCTTGTTGTAAGAAATATGCTTAAAACAAGCCTACTTATCTGCCAACATAGTGAGATAAAGTGACTTACTAAAATCGCTTTACAAGTAAAAAAAAAAAGGTCTAGCAAGTTAAATCATCTTTTAATGAGCTTACAACAATCTCGGAATGAGAATTAGCAGATTTATTGACTAAAGATGATTTTACTTCACAAGATACAGTTTGTTTGGAGTGTAGGAGGGTTTGCATGCATCATTTTGAACTGGCTGCATGTGCTGTATGTTGTGTGCAGATCTATTTGCAGACAGATTTCCTAAATGGATAAATCTTTAGTGGTTTGCTATAAATGTTGCTCTCCTGTTGATTCGCACTACATGCAGTAAATGTGGTAAGAAAAGAGGCAAAACAACTAGAAACTTAACTAGCATGTTGTTTGGTAGTAAGTATTTGAGCTAGCGCAATGGTTAATTCAGTAGCTAAATCTACACTCTTACAAAAGATAGTTCTTCGAGGGTTCTTTAGTAAAGACAATGGCTCTACATTGGACGATGAGCTGTCAAAGTACCATATGCACGCTTAAAGGGTTCTTTGCTTGGTGAAATGGTTATTCAGATTGATGGAGAATGTGTGT